TTTGTGAGGTAGGGAGTCCTTTAATCATTTGAATTGGCTGGTCGCTCCCTTCAATTTCAATGCGGTATTGATCGTCGTCTATATAAGAGGAGTCATTTTAATTAATCAAGTCTAATAAACATGAAAACTAAAAAGAAACAGAAGAAAAAACGATAAAATCCAATGAAAAAGCAAGCCATTCAAGGAAAAATATCGCGTCCTATCGATTTTCGGGAGGCGGGGTGACTACGGTAATTGCAGTGACATCTGCCGCATGCCGCAAGGGAGAATGCCGCGATAGGGGAGAAGTTCCGTTACCCTGTGTCACGCAGTGCGTTGGGCTGCGTGGTCCCCATCTGCAACAAGGAAGCACTTCATGAGATTTTGGAAGTAAAACGTTCAGTATGCATTTTCGAACGCTTTTTCTGCAGCCTTCCGCATTGACCTCCTCGGTTCGTTAATGTATTAATAGGTTACATTAACTCACAGCTGTGTAACTTACATTTGGCCTTTTCGGTGTGTTAATTATTTCCTGTCAATATGCCTTGCGATGACTTCTGGAATCGAATTACATTCAAGTTTTCCTCTTCATTTTTTGATTTCTTGACTCTTTGATATGTGTCTAGTCATTATTTATACTAGAATGATTTTTAAGTCATTATTTATCCCAGAATTATTCTTCAAGTCATATCGTGCAATTTCACCGTGTATAAGTAGGCTGCTTTGTGTTAGGGCCCGCTGTTGCTTGAAGTTTATTAATGTGATAGTTGTGCATATGATCTGCAGGTCAGTCGGAATCGTAACTGTAGGAAAATATTTTAGCGGTAGTACGGTAATCGCAAAGATTAACCTTATTAGTTTGCACAGATTGTACGTTTAGCATTGTTGGTGTACTAGGATCCAATTGGAGATTCAGTAAACACTTCAATTTTTTGTTTGGTTTGTATGCAATGGTGTACGGTTTACGAGTCCACGGTACTTGTACCAAAATATTTGAATATGTCAAGAAAACGATTGCTGAGTAAAATCTGAGACCTGTAGATGTGGAGCAAAAGGTCACGTTGATCTAGCTCTATGCATTGTGCAACGTTATTAGAAACTATGTTACGGTAGTTGTATGTTTATATCCTTCATGAATTTGTGAGCTGGTACTAATGGATAACAAGAAATGGCATTGAAAGGACGACTTGTCCAATCGGGTGTGATCTTAGAGCCATGCAATTTTTACCCACCGCTATTAATCATTGCTAACTCGGCTTGCAACCGAGGTAATTGAACTTAATAATAAGGAATGGTTTTGCATCAATGGCCTATAAACGCGGAAGAAACCAAAGACCAAAAAGGTTGGCTCGCAGTGCCCGGTAGAGTAGCAGTTTAAAGAAAATTGTTGCAGTTCTAGCATGACTATAGGATCTCTGGAGAGACCAGGACAGAAGTTTCAACATAGGCTTGAGAAATGTGCATCTAATTGGATCTTTTTTCTTGTTAATTTTATATGCTCGTCCTGTTATCATGAAAATTAAAATTGAATCCTTTTTGTTCTGGGCTGCCTTGCGTGCTCTACTAGATGCTCGTATAGAATTTCGAATTGAATAGTCTGATCTATTGTAAAACTGATTTTTCGTACATGCTTATCACACTTCGAAACTTTTCTATACTGTAAACATTTACTCATGAAGACATCAGGCCGAAGTGCTTCGATGTTGCTTGGATGTCGTTCGTGCCATTTCTGTGGAGTTCGTCATGCAACAACCTCACAGTTCTACGATACAGTAATAGTTGGCGGTGGAATGGTTGGGAATGCAATGGCTTGTGCATTAGGTTTGTCTTTTTTGGTCTTTCCTCTCTGTACTAAACAGCTAACAACAAAATGTCCTCAAAGAGATTGTTCTTTGCGATTACATATCTTCTAATCGAGATCTTCAGGTGCATAATCTAAGGTGAGGTGGATGTCGAAGAATCGTTTAACCGTTCACAAGAGATTCGGGGTGTCATCTGACCGAGTACACACAACAAGCAACGCAGTGTCTTGTGCGGCGGAGAAGGACTGGAGGCGAAAGCGAGAATGAAGCCAAAAACCACTTGTAAAAATGGAAAAAAAANAAAAAAAACATCTATACTATCACCTGTATCACCTGTCGTCTCGTTAATCACAGATTTCCTCGAGCGGGCGCCAGCAACGTTTCATTCGTCCCTGTCGGCGATAAAGTGGTCTAGTGGAGGTGCTCGTTCGTGGGACACGCAGCGAAGCTTTCCATTCGTTCTAAGATCTCGTCAAGACCGTGAAGGTCATCACTATGTCGCATAACGTGTCCGGTCTCATCCTCGATTTTTTGGCGTAGGCACTGACATCACTGATCTTCCCTCGTTGACAGGGCTCGGAACTGCGTATTATCTTCTGCACATGCGCGTATGGTGGAATCCGAGAATAAACATTTACGAAGGAAGGCCAGCAGTGTCGAAAAGGTGAGCGCAAAGCCGGATGTTCTTTGCCGTCTTCATAACTCCTTCGATATTCTTGAATGCTGCTCATGCAGCGCATTTTCTTCGGCTCAGCTCCGGAGCTAGGTCCACTTGCTCGGTTTTCAGTGTTATAAGCCGATGTCGTCTGATGGAGATAGCGGATATCGATTATGCAAGTCTTCTCAGTCCAAATGACGCATGATGTTCTCCAAAGCGGCATTGAAAAGTTTGGGCGAGATGATATCGTTTTGCCACACCACTCTTATCACGTTCCCAATGACTTCCTCATAGAATGGCGAAATCGTGACGTCAAGTTGTCGTAAAGTTTTCGAAATCCCTAGATATTGAGTGGGAACATCCTAGTTGCCCAGGGCTTGAATTACCGCTTCTTTCTCAACGTTATCAAAGTCGATGAACGTCAGGCATAACGGCATCCTGTACTCTCCGGAAACTTCAGTGAGTTGCTTGTACTGAACCTTCCTTGAAACATCGCTTGCTCGCACAGCCGTTCTTCATCTAATATCCTGCCTGTCCTGAGCATGTCCGTGTGAAAAGTTTGTGGATTACAGGCAGTAGGCACTTTGGGTGGTAGTTGCAGTACATTGAGATCTCCCTCCTTATACAGCAACGCAGTCCTGCTAGTTTTCCACGACGTGAGTTCTTACATTCCGGCAGGTACGTGAAAAGCCTGACCATAGTTCTGACGACAAATGGTCGAAGACTCTTGAGGTGCTCTGGACTGATCCTACCGGGACGGGGCGCCGTGCAACTTTTCGTCAATGCGATATCATTTATTTTATCAGATTTTAATAAAACCTGCTGCCAAGATGGTAAATAAATTCTTATCAACTTACGTTTCGGCGTTATCGCCTTCTTCAGAGTTGGAAACCTAAAGATAATCG